GACCAAAGGTGCTGGACTGGACTCCATGATATCGAAAGGATTGCCCATGATAGAATGAAATGGATGAATAGATGGCGAGCCCTATGGCAGAGGAAGAGCCGCTTTATTTGAAGGAAATGGCGAATCTGGAAGTCTAACAGTTACTGCAGAGGAACAAAACTCCGACTCTACAAGAGCATCATTTTGCTAGTTCTTCTTTATGGAGCAGAATGCTGACCAATGACCAAAAAGGTTGCAAACAAGCTGTCCACCTTCCAACACACATGTCTACGTAGAATATTCAAAATATTCTGGCCAGATACAATCTCAAACACTAAACTGCTCCAAATTACAAGCCAAGAAACTCTAGACAGTTTGATAACCAAGAGAAAATGGGAATGGCTTGGCCCCGTCATGATAATGAATCCCGATATACCTGCCAAAACAGCTCTCACTTGGACACATGAGGGAAAGAGAAAGAACGAGCGCCCAAAAACAACATGGAGACGAACGATGGAGAGTGAACTGAGTGCGGCATCTCTGACATGGAAAACTGCAGGGAAGATTGCACAGGACAGGAAGGCATGGAAAGTCCCCCCTGAAGCCTCATAAGCCAATAGGCATGAGATAACTGACTGACCTATGACGTATAATAGCGTCTGATGATACAGTGTGATTTAGAAGAATATCAGTGACATTAAATTATTGATGATGTAATATCAAAATTTTTTAAATTATGTTGCCTTCAAGTCATGCTGATAGTACTGAAACATAACGCGTTCACGAGGGATCTTCATTGCTGTCGTCTGCTGCTTTTGTGTCTACTTCACCCCCATTCAGCTTACGCTACTTATCTTTTTACTGTCCTTAGCGGGACACGATCTAATCCAATCCAACTGATATTGTAACTTGAATACAACTTGATGCTGACAGTAGCTACATGTTTTCATCCACACAGTTTATCTTGATGGTATCGTCAATCCTGGCGCCGTCGACTGTGATCCTGATGATCTCCAGCTCGTACCACTCCGTGCTGGGATTATCCAATTGGTGGTCCTTCGTGCTCTCGGTGGTACCCGTGGGAATGTACGTGGTAGTATGTCTTACACAGAAAACAGACACACAGGTATAGTAATCTCATCCCCGTGTGGGTTCCGGGGCCCTATAATAGAGAACACAAGAATAGACCCACTGCTTACCCAAAAGCATGTCGTAAGAGTTGACTAACTGTGAGCTTTCTTTGAAGTCGGAGTGCATTTATCCGAGAAGCAAGGAACCAACAGTCTGCATAAAAATTAGTCAGATCTGTGAAACAGATGCACATCCAACACTCAAGTTCTAGAACAGGACTGCAGTCCAGAAGTGGACGAAGAACCATAACTCTCCGCCAGAGTTAACATCTGGTGAACGAGAAGAAGAAGAAGAAAAGTCTTTCATAAACTATGTTGCCAGAAAAAAACATTAGGACCTCTCGGCTTAGGCCATCGGTTCTCAATCTGTGTCGCAACCCTTTTGGGGCTCGAACGACCCTTTCACAAAGGTCGCCTAAGACAAGCAGCAACTAGCATAATTTCATGGTGGTTGGAAGTCACCAACAATTTGAGGAACTATATTAACTGGTTGCGGCATTAAGAACGTTGAGAAACCCTGGCTTAAGCTGTTGGAGCGACAAACTTTCTGGCTAGCTTTCTACGCCACCGCTTGTGTGCAAGTTCTCTTTCCAAGTTTTTTGTCAGTGTCAAGGTTATTTCACATATATTATTTTTTTGCGCCACTCAACACAGCAGTATCATTACACTCTTAAACTAGGCTTATGACTTTTAAGCCGCCAAAACAAAAATAATTAAGAAGCGACCAGAAAGACTGCGAAAACCTCTTACCCAAAACAAAAGTGCAGTCAGGAAGGTAACCGCTTTGCTGGGAAAAACAATCGTCACGTTCAATCAGCATACCCGAAGGGGGAAGCGTTAGGTTATAATTGTAACTAGGTTTGAGGTTTGTGGTTTGAAGTTTGAACAACTGATCATCATCAAGGCACACGGGTAGTAACCTTTAAGTGCTCCGTTCTTCATCTAACTGAAATCTGAGCCCGAAGAAGCTCAGCACCGTGCACAGGCTCTGTAGCACCGGCGAGGATCTTGAAATAATATGGGTAGACTTTTAAATCCAAATTTTGCCCTGGCAGCGCCATTAGGTTACTCTTTTCGATTTCCAACTGCCAAGGGATTTTTACGTGCGCAGCAGCGCACACGGGCGTGCGATCTCACTACCCAGAGGTCAGTTGTGTATCCTTTGCAGAACCAACCTCAACATCCCCCTGGCTGTTGTGTGGTTTTTCTAGGCAAATTTACGTCTAGTACTTTGCCTCTGCTTTTTGGACGGTCAGCTTTCTTGATACCACTGTCGAAACCAACGCAAGGCGCATGGCCCGCAGCTGGGATCGAACCCGGCATCCCGGCATTACGAAGCGTTCGCATCGACTTAGCCACAGAGCCGATCACTACGCAGAGACCTGGGGAAATTGCTAGAAGTCCAAGTCCAGATGAAAAATCCCAGCCGTTACTAGGGATTGAACCCGGAACCTATAGCACTCGAGGCACCATGTCTAGAGACCACGTAAATAAAGTAAAGAAGTAAAAATCCCTTTCCCCGCCTTTAGGCGTATCGGACATATGGGAAGAGCGCCCATATTTTTTACAAACCATCAGTACTCGGTAGGTAATGTGGTCAGCATTACGCCGGCTGTCTTTACTTTCCCAGGACAGCCCATCCTAGTACCCATTTTAGGCTTGGTCGACCTGCGACGCCCCATACCATGATGAAAATCCACGCAGCCAGCAGGGGGTTTCTATCGCGGTATGCTGGGTTATTAATTGGTTATGTATGGCATATAAAATGGCTTAGCATTGCACGCCACCAAGAACATAGAAAAGGATTCCTGCAGTGGTGACGCAATCAAAGGACGCAGACCCTAATACTGTCCCGATCGGCGACGAAGTCGTCTACTGGTGAGCCAATGGGCGACAAGGTCGCTGATGTTAAGCGGAGGCATCTGAGTGCATAGCTTCCCGCCCCACCATAAACTGAGCTCGTCATCCTCAGAACATTTGTATGGGGACTATGCGGTTCTCTCTGCTAGGTATTCAAGATCTCTTGCACAGTATATGTTTATACATTTCATCTTGTTTCAGATATTTGTTTATTAGTATATTAATCATGTCTTCAGAGCATAACAGTAATAATTTATTGTAATTATTCATCTTTCAGTTATTGATAGCCCTTACCCCTAATGTTTTGTTTGTTTCGGCGGCCTTGACCAAATCCTAATGGTCCAGTTGGCAGGGACTGTTTGAATGCATACCAGTCTACAGACTGCAGCAGTATCAGTCATAGGATTATCTATCTGTCTGCCTGTCTGTTTCTCTTTCTGTCTGTCTGTCTCTCTCTGTATATATATATATATATATATATATATATATATATATATATATATATATATATATATATATATACAGGCACATACATACATACATACATACATACATACGTATAAACATACATTGCAGAAAATAAAAAAAACATAAACATTTTAACTAAAATAAACAAATCAGTTTCGGCAGTCCCCGTGGCGGTTGCGGAGCCCATTCTGGGAGGAAAAAGGGGCGGAGGGTATGGAGATAGACCTACAGCTCCCCTAAAAACATGTCGTAAAAGGCGAGTAAGTAATTTTTCTTTGGAAGTCGGAGAAAATCTGCTTGAGAGGCGAGGAACATACAGCCTACATCCAACTAAGCCAGAACTGTAAAAACGGATATTCGAGAAGAGACTAGGTTCCGGAACAGGACTATTCCAGAAGTGGTCGAACACCAGAACTTTCAGCCGGAGTTTACAACCGGTGAACGCAAAGAAGAAGAGCAGACACGTTTCAGTAGAAAGGATTTGTGTTTTGCGCTTCATAATCTGTTAATGTAAACATGTGACGATGTGACGAGGTACTGTGAGATAGATATGCTAGTCAATAAACGGTGCCTTGTATCTTTTGTGTCTGCGTTATTTAAATTCTTATAGAGAAAAGATTGTTTGAACTAGAGGTTACTTTGAAGCTGTCGATTGTCCAATACAGCAGGTTTATACGGTTGAATGGGGCTCATAGGATTTGCTCCTGTTCGATTCCCATTCAGATAGTGACTCCCTAAGGTCCTGGGTGTTCTTCTTCGCAATTACCAGCTGTAAACTCGGAAAGTTCTGGCTGTTCGTCCACTTCTGGACTGCAGTCCTGGTTCAGAACCTGAGTGTTGCGTGTGCATCCGTTTGACAGATCAGACTAATTTGTATGCAGACTGTTGGTTCTTGCCTCTCAGGTAGGTGCACTCCGACTTCGAAGGAAGCTCCCTATTAGTCGACATGCTTTTGGGAAGGCAGTGGGTCTATTCTTGTTTTCCCTATAATAGGGCCCCGGAACCCACACGGAGAGCACTGGGTGTTAACCATTCAGGCAGCAATCTTGCAGGGCAAAAAGTCAGTTGCGTATCCTTTACAATACGTTGCAGAACCAACCCCAGCAATTATTGGCTTTTGTGGTTTTTAATAGGCAAATTTTACCTTCAGTAGTTTGCCGTTGCTGTTGAAAGATCAGTTCTCGGTACCGCTGTCAAAACCAGCGCACGACAAATCGTCCGCAGCAGGGATTGAACCTGGCACCCAGGTTTACGAAGCGCGTTCGAAACGCCTAAGCCACAGACGCCGACCCTGGAGGGTTAAAAAAAAAAACATCATCGTGAAAGTTTATCTGTGTCTCATTTCTTCTCGCACAACAGATAAAAGTCGGAGCCGTGCTGACAGCCATGTACACAGTCATCATGATGATAGCTACAGTGGGAACCGTCATCAGCATCGCCACGGAAAACTTCAGTAGCCCTAACGTCGTCTTCCTCAGTGGTCTGGGAATCATCTTCGTCATGGCAGCAGTGCTGCACCCTCAAGAAATATACTGCCTGATTTTCGGAGCCATTTACTTTTTGGTGATACCTTCAACCTTTATTCTCCTGACCATTTTCTACCTGTGTAATCTCAACAATGTGTCCTGGGGCACAAGGGAAGTTCCAAAGAAGTTGACTCCCGAAGAAGAGCAGGTTATGAAAGAAGCAGAGGAGGAAAAGAAGAAAAAGAAAAAGTCGTGGAACGTTTTTACTTCTGTTGGACTCATGAATATTCTTAATGAGTTAAGGGAAATTATCCGGAACATATGGGGGTTAAGACACGATCTTCAGCATAACCAAGACTTAAATTCTGAGAATGGTGAAACAAAGGTACACTCACCTACTCCACTCAAAGAAGAACAAGTTGAGGCTCCACCTAAAAAGAAACTACCACACGAAATGCCAGGCTTCGAAGTCGATCATGAAAACCCTTTTTGGCTTGATCAAGCTGAAATGGGCAGTGGGCCTGTGGACGTATTGAGCAGCACGGAAACGGATTTTTGGAAGTTTCTCATCAAGAAATATCTGTACCCACTGGACGAGAACAAGGAGGACAAGGAGAAGATTGCCAATGATTTGTTGGATGTTCGCAACAACGTAGTGTTTATTTTCATCATGTTGAACTTTTTGTGGATTGTGATCTCGCTCCAGCTGCAGGCTTCTGAAGACTTTCTCAAGGATTACTACATCATCCAAAAGTATGAGCCAATGTCGCTTGTGTTTCTTTCCATCTTTGCAATGATCATAGTTACGCAGGTAAGTCATGGGTACTAGTTAGCCATACTGCCTTGAATTTAACTTGTGTTGGCTGTGAACCTGTTTATTTTGACGAGGAATGTGATAGTCTGGTAATTTTTGTTTCAGCTTCATAACAAACGAGTCACCCCATTGTTGCTCCGCTCCTGTACCAATGAATAACAGGCAGAATCACTGTCCTTTGTGGAAAAATTGACACAGACTGCAGTCTCAGTATATCCACTATCATTCACATGCATTAAAAGCAGAAGGCAGCCATCAGAAGTGCGAACACAAACAGTCAGCCGATATAAATGCAGTTCATCATCGACGGAAGCATCAGTTACAAACAGATCAGTAGTTGCATACGCAAATAATTTTGACCACATAAGATCCTTGTGTTGGTTCCGCGGCCCCATTGTTTGGAAAACAGGAACAGGCCTACTGCATACTCAACAACAACAACAACAACAACAAATACATTGTCGTATGAGTCAACTAATTGGGAGCTTAATTCGAAACCGGAGTACATCTACCTGTGAGGCAAGGAACCAACAGTCTGCATGCAAAAAAACTCAGATCTGTGAAACACGCAACACTCCGTTTCTGGAACAGGACTACATTCCAGAAGTGGACGAAAAACCAGAACTTTTCCTCCGGAGTTTACAGCCGTCGAACGCGAAAAAGAAGAAGAAGAAGAAGAAGAAGAAGAAGAAGAAGAAGAAGAAGAAGAAGAAGAAGAAGAAGAAGAAGAAGAAGAAGAAGAAGAAGCAGAAGGAGAAGAAGAAGGAGAAGAAGAAGGAGAAGAAAAAGGAGAAGAAGAAGGAGAAGAAGAAGAAGAAGAAGAAGAAGAAGAAGAAGAAGAAGAAGAAGAAGAAGAAGAAGAAGAAGAAGAAGAAGAAGAAGAAGAAGACGAAGAAGAAGAAGAAAAAGAAGGCTAGAACAAATGTTCTGGAAAGACTACCAATGAAAAGAGTATTACTGAAATAAATAAAAAAAAAAAGAGAAAATTTGAATACTTTGGTCAAACTAAAAGAGATAACAAGCTATTAAAAACCATGCTGGAGGAAAAAAGTTGAGGGCAAGAGAGCAAGAGGTAGACAACTTTACAAGTGAGAGGACAACATCGAGAAACTTGCAACAGCAGTCTGAAAGGGCTACACCAAAGACAAGTCAGCGTGTTGGAGATCCATTGCAGCCACCCTTCACTGTGGAGACGGCACCTGATTGATTAATGGTACCAGGGTGGAGGGGCAGGGGTTGACCAACACGAAGATGTTCATATGATGAAAGTTTCACCTTGGGTACGAAAGTACATGAGGCGGGAGATCTAGAATGCTACTGGATCTAGAACAGATTGTATATATGTAAAACTATTCACTCGTCTCTTCGTAATGCCGGGATGCCAGTTTCGATCCCAGCTGCGGGCCATGCGCCTTGCGTTGGTTTCGACAGTGGTCTCAAGAAAGCCGACCGTCGAGTAGGGGCTGTTGGGGGTTGGTTCTGCAACGTCCTGTAAAGGATACGCAACTAACCTTTGTTTCACCGACCCGGTGGTCTTGGGTTCGAATCCTTAAAGACGTTAACGAGTTTGACTTTTCTTCAGAAATAACTTTTGCTCCCAGCTCGAACAGCCTAAGATGGATGGGAGGTTGAGTCCTGTGAAGTCAAGGCAACCGGTGTGATTTTGATTAAATCACAAAAATATGAGTCTAGATCATATGCCCGATATACTAGTGGTATAAAAAGTGTCTTTAATAAACGTTAGTCAATACTCGTATTGTACTACCTACTGTTGTAACTTGTCTCTAAAATACATTATGTTTGCTATTTTTGTTATAAGTAACCTGTCGTTGAAATACACTTTTTAGCTGTTTTTGTCATTTGTAACCTGCCTTTTAAATACATTTTTTTTTGGTTTGCTATTTTTTTTTTCAAGTAACCTGTTTTAAAATACATTATGTTTGCTATTTTTATTATTAGTAACCTTAGAAATTCATTATTTTTGTTATTAGTAACCTGTCTAAAAAAAAAAAAGAAAAAAAAAAAAACTAAGTTCCCTTTTGTCTTTCAGTTTTTTGGAATGATTGTGCACAGATGGGGTACCTTCCTCCATCTCATGTCAAGTACGCGCATTGATTGGTTCTTAGGAAAGCATTCTGATGAGGATTTTGCCAGGTAGACATTTTTATCAATTTTAAAATCACTAACACTAATATTGCATTCATTCTGCAGTATAAACTATTGTATTAAATTTATGTTAACCAGCGTAGAAGAATATATTGATTTTAAATTATTTCACCTAGTTACCTAGTAACACAGATTACAGTAATGCATAACAGATTGTATGCAGAACAGGACAAGAACCTGGAAAAAAGGTGTGTGTGTGTGTGGGGGGGGGGATCAGAGCTCTTGAGCCCACTCCCCTAAAAAGCTTTTACGGAGGCTGAAACCGCCCCAAACCCCTTTACCCTCCCCTGGACTAAAATGTATAAGGGAACAAACCTCCCCACCCCTCACCACCCCATGTTAAAAATTTATCTTTCAAAGGATTTATTTATGTAATTTAAATTTTTCCAAATATTATTTTTACTTGCAATTTAGCAATATATACGAGTGCGTGCGTGCGTATATATATATATATATATATATATATATATATATATATATATATATATATATATATATATGTATATATATATATATGTATACATATGTTGTGCGTACTTAAACGGGGCTTAACCCTCTTGAACCCCTCTTTATAGAAGACTTCTTTCAAGCTTAAGTTTAATCAGTTATGTGTCAGTGCTCCCTTTTCTATGCCTTAAGGCGTATTGGGCATATAGGGCACTACCTATATTTCATAGACCAATCGACACTCGATGGGTGATATGGTCAACATCACACCTGTCTTCTCCATTTCCCAGGATTGTATCTGGTACCCATTTAAGGCTTTATCGACCTGGGAACTTAGGTCATTTTTTAAGAAAGTCAGTCTCTGCCAGGACCCGAACCTACCGCCTTCCGATCAGCAGGCGAGAGTCTAGCCGCTAAACCACATAGGATATAATGATGCTTCTTTCGAAGTCGAAGTGATTCTGCCTATGAGGCAAGGAACCAACAGTCTGCACACAGATGTGTCGTACCTGTCAAACGCATGCATACGCAGCACTCAGGTTCTGGAACAGGACTGCACTCCAGAAGTGGACGAACAACCAGAACTTTCCACTAGAGTTTACATCTGGTGAACGCAAAGAAGAAAGTAGAAGAAAATAATCACACTATTTATCGTTGCCACGTGGCGTATCTGAGAGGTATTTCCTTGACACCCACAGATTTGTTGTGCAAGAAATCCATAAACACCAGAATCTGGAGCCCGTGGCTGACTATGCAGAATCCGAAGAAGAGGACGACACTAGCCTGCCAACTCACCTCGGGGAGGAGGTAGAGGATGATGATGTCTATTCACTGTCTAGCAGTGTGCGGTCTGAGTACGTCAACCAGGTGGGTCCAGTGGTGTCTGTGATATGTTTCTAAATACATTTAGAAGTACTGATGAGCATCAAAGAACGAGCAAAAAATTAGAAATAGATTAGAATTTACGTTGAAGTACACTTGTTCCTGCAGCAAGGTGCTGTCGTTATTTGGAGGTGACAGGTTTGGTCATTTCCTTCCTCTCTTTCCTTCCCTCATTCCTGTTGTTGTTATGTGCTCTTGTTCAGGCGCGTCAACCTGGAACTCCTCCGAAGGTCACATCTGTGTCGTCATGAAGGCCACACACGACAACTAATTGAAATCATTTACCGTCAATAAAGTCAATTAAACATTAAATAGAACATGTAGTTAGTTCCACTATAATCTCCCCACAGACCGCCCATATGCATACTATTTCACTTCTTATTAGTCGACCTTCAGTCACCCGACTTTTGCACACTGCTATGGGAGTGTTCGGCAATGCCATTGACATCGCGTGTTGTATATTTAAGCACGCCAGCGCTTTTAACACTAGAAAAACATTTAGAAACTGGGTCTAACACACAACGCCCCTAGAGAGCGCTCCAACTTATGTCACAGGCATTCTCTTTATTGAAAAAAAAAAAAAAAAAACGTGAATGCAAGACAAGCTAGAGAGTAAACAACATAGCGGCAACCCGTAACCCCCCGGACAGCAGACCAGTCTAAAAATGTATAAATGGAACGTGACCTAGTTTGTTTGGGGTGATTATCGTTGAACTGATCGAACATGTTATTTGTGTGGGGGCTGCAGGTATGATTGCAAAGGATTGCCAGTTATTCGTGTCTGCTCTAGTTTACTCTTCTCATAGCTTGCCATCAGAATACGGGTAGTCTATTTCTGGTACACTGGGCGGTGTTCACCACATCACCCTTCCAGTGCCGATTGGTCTCTAAAATATAGGTTTAGCCCTACATGCCCAGTAAGCCTGAAGGTGGGGAAATGGGTCCTTTACTTTATTTACTTTTACTTCTGGTACAGAGCAGCTGCAGTAGCATAGTGGTTAGACGCTCGCCTACCGACTAAAGTCTTAGGTTTGAATCCGCTTCAAAGCGAATTTTTTTTTTCATTCTTAAAAAAAAAAAAAATGATCTTGGCTTCCAGGTTCACCTAGCCTAAAATGGTTACCATATGTTGTTCTTAGAATTAAAGGCGGCCGGTTGAGTATATCTCCCACCGTTTGCCTATTAGTCTATTCAAAAATAAGTCTAGCCCTAAAGTCGACAGGTGCCAAAAACGTAAAGCTGGATCTTTTACTTCTTACTTCTGGCGTGGCTAAACGTTATTTTGGAGTTAACTTCTTACTTCTGGCGTGGATAAACGTTATTTTGAGAGTTAACTTCTTACTTCTGGCGTGGATAAACGTTATTTTGGGAGTTAACTCCCTACTTCAAGCGAGGATAAACGTTATTTTGGGAGTTAACTTCTTACTTCTGGCGTGGATAAACGATTTTTTTTTGGGGAGTTAACTGCTTACTTCTGGCGTGGATAAACGTTATTTTGGGAGTTAACTTCTTACTAGACATTTTCATTGCGTCTTGTACGTGTCCCAGTTTGAAAAGTCTGGACAAAATATGGAACTCTTAATTGTATAGCTTTAAAACCAAATAAGGCATTGTGAATTCTAATGTCTTTTAAATTGTAACATATGCCGATGACCGTTAACACAGTTTTAAAAACACGGAACAACAGTTAAGTGCATTTGAAAACCATTGTCTGAGGAAAATGTTGAAGATTATATGGGATTAATTCAAGTTAGGGGCAAAGGGGGTGTGAGAGGGGAGGGGGGGGGGAGGGTAAAAATATACATGGGCTACACTGATAACAACAGAGTTAGACAAATAAAATCACGTTTTAATTGGCATATCCTGAAAAGAAACGAGCAGGTAATCACCAAAACAGACACTAAAAGGGTCATTAAAGAGATGAAGAAGCGAGGACGTTAAAAAAAAAAAAAATTTAAAACCAACGTTGATGTCAGAGGCTCAGTGTGATATGGGCTGGATTCCATCCATCGAGGAGAACGCTTAGGATAGAACTGGATAGAGGAATATCCTAGTATCCTATGTGACATGTAATGGCACAACAGGTCAGTGACTGAATGAATGAATTTGTCTCTTGTGTTCTCATTAGTCGTCTATAAAAGCCAGTACGATGTACGTTTTCTTTCACCACTTGTTTAATAACATTCACATTCATTCAGATGGTGTGGCCGCGTGACTGGAGCAACCAGCCGTCAAACCCCGGACATTTCCCACAGTATGAGAACATTCTGAATCACAAACTGGGCCGGCTGCAGCAGCAACTTAACCGTGTCGGCCACTCCAACAGGGGCAACACTCATCTATCCAGACAGCTCAGCAGAAAGGAGACCAAGTTTTTCCATGGATGGAGCAGCAGAGACACTAACATGAGAAATAGGTTTATCCAGCAGAACTTACAGGCTCCACAGCATTCAGTGAGCATAGAATAGTTAGGTTTACAACCTGCACATTCGAGTAGAAGCGGTAGTCCAAATGGTTAAGATTGCTCAGCTCTCATGCGGGAGTCCCAGATTCGAATCCTTGGTAAGGTTGTGGATTTGTTTCTGTTGGGTGAAATATTCAATCCTAATCGGCACAGTCCGTGGCGAAAGCACTAGCCATGCGAACTTAAATCATCTGGCTCAATCAAAGAACCCCTATCCCCCCACCTCCCGCACACGGCCCTACCCACAAAAGTGGTAACTAGAGAATTGCAGTGTGGCAGGTAATTAGGTTACTTTGCTTTGCTGGTTAAAAAACACAGTAAATCTTCACATTCAACCAGCATGTCCGAAAGAGGAGCTTCAGGTTATAATTGCGACTAGGTTATGTGTGCCATTTAAAACGGCTTAGCATTACACGCCACCAAGAGCCCTAAAAAGTGTTGACGTGATCAAAGGAGATAGACCCAAATAGTATCCCGACCAGCGACAAAGTTGTCTACCGGCGAGCCAGTAGGCGATCCGGTCGCAGATTTGAGGATAAGACAGTTTGGCAGCATTCACTTCATATTAGATACTCAGTCTTATAGCCTGCAACATCCAGTGTTCAAACATAATAGCTAATTTCTCGTTATGCCTAGTGACACATGAGGCTTCAGATAGGACTTTTCAAGCTTTCCTGTCCTGTGCAATATTTAGTGCAATTTTTCATGTCAGAGATGCCGCACTCAGGTCACTTTCCCATCATTCGTCTCCATGTTGTTTTTTTAGCTACCTTTTTTTCTCTTACCTCTGGTATCCATGTGTGAGCTGTTTTGGCAGGTATATCAGGATTATTTCTCATAATGTGGCCAAGCCATTTCTATCTTCTCTTGGTTATCATACTGTCTAGAGTTGCTTGGTTTGAGACTTGAAGTAGTTTAGTGTTTGGGATTGTATCTGGCCAGAATAATTTGATAATTCTACATAGACATGTATGGTGGAAGGTGGATAGCTTGTGCACATCCTTTTTGGTCATTCTCCGGCATTCTGCTCCATAAGGAAGTACTGGCAAAAGGATGATTTTGTAGAGTCGGAGTTTCGTTCCTTTGCAGTAACTGTTAGATTTCCAAATTTGCCTCATCCTTCCAAAAGCAGCTCTAGCTTTTTTTTTAGGCGTGACTGTATGTCTTCCTTTGTCCCTCCAAGTAGGGACACCACACTGCCAAGATATGCGAAACGTTCTTTATTTTCATGTGTTTGGTTATTTATGGTCACTGGTTTGGGGAGACATCATTCAGCATTAACATAAAATAGTTAATTTTATCAACTGCAGCATTTAAAAATAAAGAATATTTTATAGTCTTTCTTTGTCATTTGAGACGAAACGGAAAATTCTTAAAAGCTGTATACATCATATCCTGATATACGAAAGTGAATCATGGACAGTTGGTTAATTACGGAATATAAAATTCCTGGGAAACTGACGGGATGTGGGTTTAAAGACAAATGATGAGAATACCATTACCAGAAAAAAGAAAATTAAAACAAGAGACACGAAGATGTCTTGAAAGAAAGTAAATCGCGAAGAGAACTGATTGTTCACATCAGAAAAAGACAATCTAAATATTTTAGTCGTTTCATGAGAAAAAGAAAACTTTAGCACATCGTGGCATTTAGAGAGTTTGAAGGAAAGAGAGGTAAAGGGAGATTGAGAGAGAAGATGCTGAACAGTTTGACATCATTGCATGGAAGCTCATCCGTGTCTGAACTGACTAAAAGTACATGAGGCAGAAGGTTGTGGATGCACATGACTACCAACGCCACAGGGCATAGCATTGAAGAAGAAAAGAAGTGTTATAACGCGCAATACTCAGCGAGCAAAGAAAAGCTAGTTTTGTAACACACAACATTCAGGGATAATAAAATAACAAGTTGTAAAACGTTCGGTGATCATATTTAATAGAAAGTCCTTCAACAAACGACATACAGTAGGCAACAACAACAACAAATCCAGTCTGATAAAATATGCAACAGTCAGTGAGCGCAGAATAGTTTAACGCATAATATACAACATTCAGTAATCATATATTATACCTAGTACTTCAACAAACAACATTCAATGGACATACAAATTCAAGTTTTATAATATGCATCATTCAGTGAGCACACGATAGCCAGTCTTATAACATACATTTCCGTCAGTGAAAATAGATTAGCCTGTTTCTTAACAAAAATAATTTAAGTGACAACAGATTGGCTTGTCCTTTAAGATACATTATTCAATGCCAATAGAATAACAGTACACCAGTTATTGAGCATTACTGAGTGGATACTTTTATAATCTAAAGCATTCAGTCAGCATATAAACTGTGTCCTCGTAGCATCCATCATTCGGTGAACTTCAAGCATAACCATAGAGATAACTTCTGCTTCCAAAGTACTGACACAAGCAGGAGAAATGGTAATGAAAGAGCTGACCAGCTGACAAGTCATGCACCAGTGAAAATAGGAACGGACTAGTTTAGTGGATAATGGTGAATCTCTGACGCTAACAGTACTGCGTGACCGAGGAGTTAAGCTTGATGAAGCATGTTTAGTCGTCTTCAAGGTAACGACAGCAGAAACTATTACCAAACTCCTCATAGGAACAATCAGTAGAGGTAACTTAGAGTGGCTGCTGCAACAGAGGACTGAGCACGTAGAGCCAGTGTGCAAAGACATAACTACAGTGTGCATGATAGGTTTCGTCCTGTGTGTCACGTCCGTTGAAATGTATCCTGTCTCAAGAATATAATTGTTTACTAGAACTATGTATCCGTGTATTGATTGTCATCTGTTTTTGTATTGATTCGAAATTTCACCGTGTGGGTTCCCGGAGCCCCATTGTGGGAGAAGTCAAGAATAGACCAACTGCCGCCCCAACAGCATGTCGTAAGAGTCGACTAATTGGGAAAAAGGTAGGGGGGGGGGGGGGGGGGTCTTTCTTTGAAGTCAGTGTGCTTCTGCCTGAGATGCAAGGAATCGACAGTCTGAAATATGGTTCTGGAAAAAGGCTTAAGTCCAGAGGTGGACAAACAACTCGAACCTTCCGCCGGAGTTTACAGCGGTGAACGCGAAGAAGAAGAAGATTCGAAATCATTCTTTATCGTTGGCCTTTCTTCTTCTTCTTACAGTCCATGCTGTGTGGCGTTGGTAGCCATGTCTATCCACAACCTTCTGTTTCGTTTACTTTCAGTGTGACACAAATGATCTTTAAAGCCATGATGTCAAACTGTCCAGTATCTTTTCTCTCGGTTTCCCTCTGCCTCTTGTCCCCTCCGACTGTCCCGTCGTCACGATGTACTCCAGTTTTCTCCTTCTCATGACATGACCAAAGAATGTACATTGGCATTTTACGGTAAATATTTCCTCATTGACTCACTGGTAGTCTCAGTGGCGAAGAGGTCCCTTTCGGAAGGTTGTGGGTTCGTTTCACAACGGCACTTTTCAGTTCACGAGTGCAGTTTTTACAGAGAACCTTTGGGATTGTCGCCGGAGCTATTAAGTTCGTGCTCTGTGCGAGGCTATCCGCAGGCGGCTATCCATTTTGCGGAGAGAGACCGAGCTGTATGAGATAAAACCCTGTGCAATAAAATCGATCCTCTCGAATTTAACTTTAACTTTCATTAACTCATTGAGGATCTAGCAAATCACCATAAGTTTATTGAAAATTTATACACCGTGTACACTTTTTGTCTGTGGCTGAGGTGTTGCGAACGTGCTTTCGTAATTCCATAGTGCCGGTTTCGATCCAGCTGCAGTAAACTGGTAACAGGCCGCTTTGCTTGGGTTTCAACAGAGAGCAGACCGTTCAGGGGTGGGGGCAATGGCAAACTACTGAATGTAAAATGTTCTAGTATAACGTGCTGGTTATTGTTCCGTAACGTCCTGATAATATTATGTTTCTGTATATCTTTGATCCCATCCTTTTGTTATCCTAATCTACTTTACTCCGCTTGTTTTATCTAACTCAGATTGTCCTATAGTTGTTTTACACTAACTATTTATTTATCAGCAGCTCCCCGATCCTATACGAAACATTGCTCTCTTCTCGGCACGCTTGAAAGTTTCTTTCTGTAGTCAGTTCTTCAGCTCTGTGAGTGTTCATAGCCTAGTTCTTCAGCTCTGCGAGTGTCCATAGCCCAGTTCTTTAGCTTTGTGAGTGTCCATAGCCCAGTTCTTTAGCTTTGTGAGTGTCCATAGCACAGTTCTTTAGCTCTGTGAGTGTTCATAGCCCAGTTCTTCAACTCTGTGAGTGTTCATAGCCCAGTTCTGCAACTCTGTGAGTGTTCATAGCCCAGTTCTTCAACTCTGTGAGTGTCCATAGCCCAGTTCTTTAGCTTTGTGAGTGTCCATAGCACAGTTCTTTAGCTCTGTGAGTGTTCATAGCCCAGTTCTTTAGCTTTGTGAGTGTCCATAGCCCAGTTCTTTAGCTCTGTGAGTGTTCATAGCCCAGTTCTTCAACTCTGTGAAAGTTCATAGCCTAGTTCTTCAACTCTGTGAGTGTTCATAGCCCAGTTCTTGAACTCTGTGAGTGTTCATAGCCCAGTTCTTCAACTCTGTGAGTGTTCATAGCCCAGTTCTTCAACTCTGTGAGTGTTCATAGCCCAGTTCTGCAACTCTGTGAGTGTCCATAGCCCAGTTCTTCAACTCTGTGAGTGTCCATAGCCCAGTTCTTCAACTCTGTGAGTGTCCATAGCCCAGTTCTTCAACTCTGTGAGTGTCCATAGCCCAGTTCTTCAACTCTGTGAGTGTTCATAGTTATTGCATCTCCAGTGGCTTGTCTCCAACTTCGCGGAGATCAGTGGCTTGTCTCCAACTTCGCGGAGATCAGTGGCTTGTCTGTAACTTCGCGGAGATCAGTGGCTTGTCTGTAACTTCGCGGAGATCAGTGGCTTGTCTGTAACTTCGCGGAGATCAGTGGCTTGTCTGTAACTTCGCGGAGATCAGTGGCTTGTCTGTAACTTCGCGGAGATCAGTGGCTTGTC